AAAAAAAAAAAAAAAAAAGACAAAAATGAAGGAGGGGGCTTCAGGTCTCCCTAATGAAAACAGGACAGGACAGCCCCCAGCATGACCAAGACTCACTTGTGGACAGGCTGCCTGGGGAAGGGCCTGCCCTGCGTGTTACCTCATGACTGTGTGTTTCCTGCCTTGACCTCCGGGTATGACAGGGAGGCTCCAGGGGTTGACATTGGTGCTGGTGGCTGGTGGGACCTGGGGGACGTCTCTGTGGAGTCCAGGCCTGGCACCGCAAGCTTACCAGGTAGCCTAGGTCCAGAGAAAGGAAGTGACTGCCTGGAAGATGGGGATTACCCTGGGCAGAACAGGAAACGGGAGGAATAGGGGGACTGCCAGCCACCGTGGCCCTGGGCAGGGACGGAAGGGACCTAAATGGGAGAGCGACCGCCAGCCATGCTAAGGTGTGCCAGGCAGGAGTGCTGCTCTCAGATGAGCGCAGAGGGGTCCCCCTCCCCAGGAAGCCCCAGACCCCGTTTCCCCTTTGGGTGCTCTCTGGCCTCTATACTGAGCACAAGTAACCAGATACCTCCTGGGGCTGCAGGCCTAGTTGATGGAGTCACCCCCAGCCCCCCAGTCGCTCAGGGCCCAGCATCAGAGGGGGACTAGAATAGGGTGCAGATGTTCTGAGTGCCCCCAGCTCTTTCTGTAAACAAGTTCTGCACATACTGAGTGGCCACAAGTTGTCCCCCTTTATATCTGTGCCCTCCACCCACTGCCTTTCTGCTCAGTTCAGAGTCAGATCTGAGAGACTGGCTTTTGGAGGTGGAGCCCTCCCTGGGGCGGCCCACTTGCACTGTCCTGGCTGGGTTGGTGGGCACCATGGGCCGTGGTGGGAAGGTCATCACAGAGCAGGTGTGCAACAAGACCTTCCTCCTGCTCCCTTTTCCTTTTTCTATTCCTTTCTTTTTTTCTTTTCTTCGCACTTGCCAGGCAAGCGCTTATTCTACTGAGCCATCTCCCCAGCTCTCCCTTTTCCTGATACGGGGACTCCAGGCTATCTTGGTTTACTTCTTGTTCCACACTCCAGTGGATTGTCCTGATCCATCTCTGGGGGAGGTGAGCATGGGGAACCAAAGTGTCAAAGAGCAGAGCCAAGTGTCAGAGCCTGGATGGAAGGCCAGGTGACGGGGGGCAGGAGGAAATCAAGCAGGTGCGGGGCAGGACCGCCAGCCCCGTGGCAGGTGGTGGGTCCTCAGCTGCCTGGTAAGTGCCCAACTTATTGCTGTGAGTGCCCGGGCTCGGTAGTCCCCCTCCCCGTTATCAGAGCGCCGCGGGGCAGACGCACAGGACCTGCCGCGCCCGCCCGGTGAATCACCGGCGTGGTATCCAGACGCACAGGCAACTGCATGGCTTTATTTACGCCTAGAGACCCGACAAGGTCTCCAGGACCGAGGAGAGGGAGATCATGGGTCTGCTTTCTCGGGGGCACCGCGTTAGGCGGTCAGATTTTGCCTGCAAATGTCCCGTCCTGGATCTGCTGGTTCCATCGCTGCACCTGGGGAGGCAGAAGAGGAGGGGGTGTGGCTCAGCCTCAGCCCTCGCCCTCAGCCTTGGCTGGCGCGCCCAGGCCCGTGCCCGCTCACCCAGCTGATGGGGCACAGCGAGTGGTACACGCGGAAATAGTATTCGCAAGGCTGCGTGCTCTTGCCACGGCGGTTCATCGCCTTGACACAGCGGTGGTAGTCTGCCAAGAAGGGGCGGAGCTATAGAAGCCACGCCCACCCAGAAAAGGCTCCACCTGCTCCCTCGATCCCGCCCTTCATTAACACTACAGCCCGTCCCTCTAGGACTCGGTCCACCCCTCCCGTGCCGGCCCCGCCCCCTCCCCCGGCCCCGCCCCACAGCATCCCCCAACGGTCCGAAGTCTTAGATGCACGGCTTTTCGCCTCGCGACCCTCGCCCTGTGCCCCGGGTCTCACCCAGGAAGTTCTGGTAACAGTTACGGGTTTGGTTCTGGTTGGGGAAGCGGGGATCGAAAGGCGGCGTGGTCCATTTCCCCTTGGGGGGCTTCTGGGCTTCGACACTCAACATCCGCAGAGGCAGCAGTCCTGCGGGCGGGAGGGGCTCGTGGGCTGGGGCGTCCCCTCCCCGCACCCCGGGGGCCGTCCCTGGGCCCCGCCCTGCCCTCACCAGGCTGAAGTCCTCGAGTCTCAGATGAGCTGCTTTGCGTTCGGGGTGGCCTGGCTGTTGAGTCTGGGGTCCCCGCCTCCCAGGGAAAGCATGACCCTCGTCCCCGATTGGCTGGGAGCCCAGAGCCCCGGCCAATGGGCGCCGCTGAACCACTAACGCCGACCCCACCCCATCCAAGCCCCAGGCCCTCCACCCCCTCCTCCTGGTCTTGGCCCAGGTCCGGGGTGGCACGCAGGCACCGAGGCTTTCCGGCACTGAGTCCCAGACTCAGGTCTTTAATTCCCCGTCCCCCATACATAAATGTACAGACAGCTCTGATCTGTCCTTGAGCTTGGTCTGTCACCAGCCTTGCCACCACTATGAGGAAGGGTACATAGCTCCACAGGACCTGTGGGAGGAAAAGGTGGGGAGTCTTGGCCCCTCCAGGAAGGCCTCAGGCAGGTCCCCGGACCTCAGGGGTACCTGGACCGGCAGGGCTGCTCCACAGCTGGGCATCGAGGTGCAGACCGCGTGACACGCTACTGAAAGTACTGGGAATGCAGCAGGCTGCAGGGCGAGAAACCAGAAGGGGTCAGGGTGCCCCGCGGTGAGCAGGTGCCACTGTCCTTTCACACCCCCAGTTCACTCCCTGCCCAACACCACCTCACCTCCTGCCCCTGGAAATGCCAATCACTGTGTCTGGACAATGTCCCTCTTCTGGGTGACAGTGGACAGGAGTGGGGGCTCCCAGCCACCTGGCAATGGGGCTTCTTTTTCCAGCATGTTGTCCCTAAAGCTCACCACTGCCCACTCACCTGCTCTCAGGAGCCTGTCCTAGTCAGGCCTTCCTCTCTCCCCCACATGTCGCCTCCCAGCAGATAAACCCACAGGTCCTGGCCAGCCATGTGCTGCTAATGTCCCCCTGCCCACCCACAACAGCTAGGAGGCCTCTGTTCCCTCTCCCAAGAGCTGTGGCTGGCCCCATCCTCTCCACTCACTGCTGACCTCTTCTCTCGGAGTAGGGTCCCCTTTGATATACCTGAAGTCCCCAGACATGTCCCCTGAACTCCAGATGCCTCTACCTAGCTGCCACCCAGCATCTTCCCCAGCGGCTTAGAACCCAGAAGTGCAAAAGGGGAGTTCCAGATCGCTCTGAGACCTCCTCCACTCACTGCATCCCCTGGGTGTCTCGGACCTGCGTGGACACCAGCAGCCTCGTCCGTAGGGCCATGCATGTGATGGCTCGCCTCTCAGAGGAGCCAGGGAGCCCAGGGTCCTCCGCCCATCATCTGCCCACCTGCCCGAGACTCAGCACTACCAGCGCCACCCTTGCCCCAGCTCAAGCGCCCTATTGGCACATTCTCCCCAGTGTCTGAGGCCTGCGGCCCGCCAGCCCCAGGCTGGGCTGTCACCCAAACACAACTGGCCTCTTTCAGCTCCTCTGCCTGTGCTAGTGTAGGACACATACTGTGCTCTGCAGGTGACCACTGCAAGGCCAGTCCCTACCCAGTAGGCACCAGCAGGACTGTACTGCCCACTCCAGAGCCTGTGCTGTGGGGTCTGTGTTGTCAGCAACAATTCCTCCCACAGGGTCAACCACAAGAGAAACTGATGCCAAAAAAAAAACATTCTTTGGGGCCAGGGAGATGGCTCAGTGGAATAAGCACTTCCCTGGCAAGTGCAAGGGCCTGAGTTCAATCCCGTTCTGAAAAAAAAAAAAAAAAAAATACTGAAAGTGTCCAACCCTCCAGAGGTGAGAGAGAGACAGGGACAGAGGAAGAGAGAGTAAACGAAGTTAAATGCTGCTCCTCTTCGTCCTCAAATACATAACACCACTGAGGACCAGCAGGATAGCTCAACAGGCTAAACACCTGCTTAGGCAGGCACAGGGACCAGGCTTTGCTTCACATGCCATGCCAGCCCCACCCCCAGGCGCGCTGAACCGGCCACCGAGTCCAGGAGTGGTGGCACACGCCTGTAATCCCAGCACTGAGGAACCTGAAAACGGGGGCTCACTATGAGTCCAACCTGCGTGGTGAGACCCTGTACCAAGTATATTAAAAAATAAAATAAAATAAATAACAGCTGACAGTAGACTCAAGCCCCTGGCTTCACACACCTGGCCAAAGGGTGAAGAAATTCCAGGTCCCCTTTTGTCATCTGTGCCTTGGTGGCCGTGTCCCTCATACTCTGAATTTCCAAGAGTGTTGGCAGGACTCCTTCTGAGGATGACACTGTCTTGGCTGCAGGATGCTGCCTGGGGACCCTTGAGGGCCCTTGGGGGGCCCTTGAGAGCTGTTGGGGCACCCTGGCCGGGGCTTTGGCCCCCAAACTGGAGGCTGGCGGGAGGGGGGGCTGTGGCAAGTCCTCCCACAGTGAGGCAGGCAGAGGGATGGGAACCAGGGGGTCCGCAGTCACCATCGGGCTGTCAGAGCCAGGCACAGAGATGAGGGGCCCTTGGGAAGGCCCCCTTGAGCCCCGAATTGGGTCCCCTTGTGTTTGTCGCTGTGTTTTCTCCTTTCCCCAGGGGCAGGACTCTGGCTGCCCCCTGACAACCACTTGTGTCCGCTCCAGCAAGGACAGTTGGCTGGGGTTCAAGGGCAACGAGACTGGATCATCCACTGACACAGCTGCTGCCTGGGAAGTCGCCAAGAGCCAGGAGGACAGGGGAGCCTGGGGTGGCCCCCAGCACTGCTCTCTAGAGTTGGCCATGATCATCAGCTTGGCCATCATGAGCCCCTCCACAGAGAAGGCCCTGCTGCACTCCCGCTCAGGAGCCCTGAGGGCCACCTGCTGGGTCCTCACCGACTTCTGCTGCTGCTCCCCGCACCTGGGCTTCACACCAGCCAGGCCCAGAGACCCTGCCCCTGTCCTCCTATGGGCCGTGTCCTCTGACTTTGCCTGGCCCCGCGACTCCCCCAGGGTGACCTGGGTTTGGCTGAGCAGCACCTCCTGGGACTTGGTGGTGGTGGTGCAGGGCAGGTCCAGGGACGCCTTCTGGGTTCTTATCTCTGTCACATTCATTTCCTGGGTGCCAACCAAAACCCCGGCCACCCGTGTCCCCTCAGACTTGCTTTTCTCCATCACATCTGCTCCACGAGGTCCTGCCAGCACTGTGTAGAGCTGGGCTGGGCACTTTTCCCTCAAGACAGGGTGACTAGGTGCTGCCTGGGCACAGGGATGTGGGGCAGGCATCTGCTGGGACGAGCGTGGCAGGGGCAGAGGCTCCTTCTCTGGGGCAGGGGGACACATGGCCTTCTGGGGACCTGTGCCTGCAGGTGGGCCTGTCCATGTCTGAGGCAGTGGCCTGTGGTGTGGGGAGAGCACAGCTGTGGCTTTCTGGGATGGGCAGGGGGCAGCCAGGGACTTTTGGGGACCAGCAGACACAGCCAGGGGCTTCCGGGATGGGGCTGGGACAGCTGATATCCTCTGCGGCTGCTGCCTGGTGACTGGTGACCCCCTCTGTGGGTCAGCACGAGACTGGGTCTTCTGGGAGTGTGGTGGCTGCTGACCCAGCCACCGATGCATGTGTCTGGCCTTGTCCTGGGGGGTGGGGAGAGAGGGACAGGGTGGAAAGAGGAGCAGGGCAGGAGAGGGTGAAGCAGCGACTGAGCAGGAGGAGGACAGAGCGCTGGATTCCGGGATCACGAAGTCCTCGATGTCTTGCTGCCATAGTAGCATCCCCAGGGAATCACAGGACCCCAGCGGGGAAAGGTTGCGGCTGTCCCGGGAGACACAGCGGGAAGGGGTTGCAATCAGACCCTCCCGGCCCTCAACCTCCTCAGAATCAGGTGTGCAGGCCTGGTCATGGAGAGGGGTACGGGGTCAGGGCCAGGGCAGAACCTGGCCCTTTCCTACAGACCCAAACCCGCCCAGCTCTGGGGTGCAGCTGGCCTGCTGGATGGTGCTGGAGATGACGCTGAAGATGGTGCGGATGGTGATGCTGGCCTTCCCTGGTGGGGAGAGTGCGGCCTGAGTCCCTATACGGGGCCGGGGCCAGAGCCCATTCGGTCCACACATGGTGGCAGGGAAGGGGCTGCTCTCACCAGGATCATGGGCTTGGATGGCACATCTGTCATGGTCGACACGGGGGGTGGATCTATAGGAACGGCACAGTGGGACATGGTGGCATCAGGGCCCCGTCTGCCTCCCACCCCACCAGCAACAAGAGCCCCAACACCTCTTTTCCATGGATTTCTTCCTCAGGTCAGCACACTCCTGCTGCGGCCAGATGAGAGGCACAGAGTCGCCCACGGCCCGGGAGGTGAACCTGCGCTGGAGGCCGACATTGGGGCGGGGCAGTCAGGCAAGGCAGCAGCGTCCACCCCAGCTGCCCCAGCATCTCACCTGCCTTCCTCACCTTGGCCTTCCTCGGCTTCTGCACCGTCAGCCTCTGAGGAAATGGGAGCTCCACCACGGTGGCTAGCAAGAGGAGAGGGTGAGTGGGGGACGGAGATAGGAGGCCATGAGGGTCGCATCAGAGGGGAACAGGAGGGAACCCACATGTTGGAGCTCTGCCCATGCCCGGAGGGAGGACCCTGACCTGGAGAGGGCCCAGTGGGCATAGACCTGCTCACCTGTGCGGCTGCTGTGGGTCAGGTCCTGTGGACAGGGAGGAGCACTCAGAAGAGCCACTGCCCAGCTTTCTCATGCCCATCACCTACACAGCCAGCGGCCGTCCCGTTCCTGCCCCATCCCTGGGGGCCCACCTGCAGGCACCAGGTGGAGGCAGGCGCTGTGGCCAGGGGCACGTCACGGCCAGGTGGGCTCACGGGCCGGGGGTACCGGGCAGCAGCCGGCTCCTGCAGTAGGTGTGCAAGGCGCACCCAGCAGTCGAACAGGAAGGCCACCTCGGGTTCTGGAGCATCTAGGTCCAGGTAGTAGCAACGGCCAGTGACCAGCCGCAGCTTCAGGCGCCGAGCGGACACGTCGTGCACATAGAGGCGGGCGCAGTCCAGCGGGACAATCCTAGAGCACACAGGGGGCTAGAACCTGAGGCGGGCAGCGGCGTGGCGCGCGGGGGGGGGCAGATGGGCACCTGGTCAGCTCGAGGTGGGAGCCACTCCTGGCCTGGGGGCATGCCATGAGCAGGAGGTCTGGCAGCATCAGGCTGGGCAGGGAGGCAGCCACACCCATGGTCACCCGGTTAGCTCTGTGGTGCAGGAACACGGGGCTGCCGATATCCGTCACCTGGGATGGGGGAGGACCGGGGCTGGGACCCCGTCTCCAGCTGCCTGCAGGACCCGGCTCGAGCTGCTTTGGGCCACCCTCCAGCCCCTCCTGCCCTGCCACCCCATGTCCCTCTGCCCACAGGACCCCACGGTGCAGGCGTGTAGGGACCTGCACGAAGTTACTCTCGAACATGGGCATTGGACGCAGGGGCAGGTGTTCACCCTTCTGGAGGGTCTTCTGCAGCTTGCCCAGAATGGGGACCCACTTCTGGGGGGCCCGAAGTGGCCGGGCTGGCCGGGTGTTCCAAAACCACTTCATGAAACTGCAGCTGTGGGTGTGGGATGGATCCCTATCAGGCGTGTGCCACCTCGAGGTCCTACTCCCACCCCACCCTGTTGCTGGCCTCGGCCCCTGGAGCTCACCTTCCCTAGGGCCAGGGGACATGGGCTGTGGCCATGGTCTTGGGGTGGACAGCAGGGGCTGGGGAGGAGCCCCAGGGGGCTTTGTGACCTCAGCTGACACGCAGGGCTTCCTCCAGAGAGCCAGCAGGGAGGACTCAGAACCCAGGCCAACCTCGGACAGCACGGTGCACCTTCTACATTACTGAAAGTAGACCATTACCCAAAGGGCTGAGTCAGTGTCAGCTCTGCCACCAACTCTTCTCTGAGCCTGGGATAGGACTCAAACCCGTGCCCAGCCTCGGTTGCCTCATTGCTAGTATGTGGACACCTGTGTCAGCTGTCCCTGAACACCAAGCTGTGACAAAAGGGACACCAGTTTTCAAACAAGGCCCACCAAGCGCAGAATCACAGTTCTGCCAGGTGCAGTGGCACACACCTACTCGCAGTCCCAGCCTCTCAGGAGGCAGAGGCAGGAGGGTTGCAAATTCAAGGCCAGGCTAGCCAATTTCATAAGACTCTGTCTCAAAGTAATGAACACAAATGACACTGGCTGTATTTCAGTGGGAGGGCACCTGCCTCGCAGATGAGGCACCATGGGTTCAGTTCCCAGTACCACAAAGAATAAAGGGCTGGGGCTGCAGTTCAGTGTTGAGTGCTTGCTTAGCAAGTCTAAGGCCCTGGCCACCAGCCCCCCAAAACACAAAAGTAGAAAAAAAAGTACGATTCTAGTGCTCGCTTCGGCAGCACATGTACTAAAATTGGAATGATACAGAGATTAGCATGGCCCCTGCGCAAGGATGTCACGCGAATTCGTGAAGCGTTCCATTTTTATGTTGTTCTAATAGTGTTTGTAAATAGGATATCATGTCTGCATCTTGTATAGCAAATAACCACTAGGAAGAATGTATGCAATGTGTTAATTATTGAAACTGTCCTACCAATTTGATTTGAAACTGTCTCATTGCTATTTATTTCTCAATAAAATTATGGGGAAAAAATATGATTCTATCTGTCCCTCACTGTGGTCAGCAGAACAGAGACCTACCTTCCGGATACCAGTTTCCCTTGCCTGTACAGTGGGCACAGGGGGTTGGGGATTTAGCTCAGTGCCTGAGTTTGATTTCCAGTACCCCCCCTCTAAAAAAGGGGCATATTTGAGGACCCAAGGAACTTCTTGGACTTTCAAATCTCCTGACCCGAGTGTGGCATAGAGCAGGGTCTCAATTAATGGTCTTTGTCTAGTTTAGTTTTGTTTGAGTGAGTCTGTGTAGCCCAGCCTGGCTCCAAACATGTGGAGATCCTCCTGTCTCAGCCTCCTGAATGCAAGGATTGCAGGTGTGTCCTACCACACCCAGCGGTCTCCCTTATTTCTTTCTTTCTTTCTTTTTTTTTGGCGGAACTGGGGATTGAACTCAGATCCTTGCATTTGCCAGTCAAGCGCTTATCCTACTGAGCCATCTCCCCGGCCCCTCCCTTATTTCTTTCTGAAGGCTTTTTTGAGGGGAAGGTGGAAGAAGGACAACATTCCATCATTCTAAAAATAGTGTTTATTTTTGGGTTTTGGTGGGGGTTTTTGTTTGCTTTTTCTTTTTGAGACAGGGTCTCACTATACAGTTCAGGCTGGCTTGCACTCACTTCGTAGCCCAGGCTGAGATCCTGTGATCACAGTGATCCTCCCGCCTCAGCCTCCTGAGTGCGGGATTACAGGCCCATGCCACCACACCCGGCCTTATTGTCATTTTTAAATAGGTCATGCAGAATACAGTCACGGTAGAAAGTCTGGAAGATACAAGTGCAAACAATAGAAGTTGCTCCAGCCCTCCTCCCACCTGAGCCCTCAGCCAGCTATCGCCAGCATCCGGGCGTCTTTCCCTCTGGGATTTAAAAATCCATCTACACAGAAGGACAACAGCGTCCTGGCAGCCATGCAGCCTATTTGTCACACTGGGACAGTGTGCAGGGCTGGCCTGTCTTCTCTCCCTCCTCCCACATCCTGTGGCCAGGTGAGCCGTGGATGGGGGGTTCTGCAGCAGCGAGCCACCCCACCGCTGGACCCTCGGTTCTTTCTCGTTTGCTGTCAGGAACAGTGCCAGAACCAGCGGGCTTCAGCTCAGGCTTTCCCTGCAGGCACCATCAGTGGCAGGGTGACCTTCCCAAACCTTCCACGGTGAGGTGCCAGGTCAGGGGTGGCTCTCTCTCAGCCTCAGAGACTGCTCAGGGCTTGTGGAGCACAGGTGCCAGTCCTCACGATCCTGTACCCAAACCCAGGCTTCCTTTTCCCCTCCCTCCCCACCCTAACATTGCAAAGTAGTTGCTTAATAAATAATGTGTGCTCCTGCCGAGGCCCAGACTGGAGGAGCAATGGAAAGGCCCCTCTCAGAATCGGGGCCCCACCCCCCCTCAGGACCCCAGGCCTTAAATAAATATGTATAAATAAGGCACAGGTGCCCCTCACCCAGGTCTGTCTAACTAGGGGCACAGTGAGGGGCGTCCCCTGGCCGTCGCACCCTGGGACTGAAATAAATAAATAAATAAGACATGGCTTCCAAGGACAGCGGTGGCAGCAGGTCACAGCCGGGTCTTCAGCAGCAGCAGCCCCCGCACAGCCCAGTCCAGAGTGAGGTGCAGCCCCCCTAGGACAGCATGGGCCGCCCGGATGCCTCCCCAGGCTGAGGCAGGGGGTGCCAAGGGCGGTGTTGGTGGTTCTGGAGGAACCTGGGGTAGGGCCAGGCCGGACATCTGTCAGAAGAGACAAAGGTTAGCGGTAGCAGGGGTGGGCCGCAAGACCATCAGAGGCTCCAGCCTGTCTTGGAAGGCAGACTAGGCAGCAGGGCGGGGCTCTGAGGCCTGGGGTGCAGGTCTGAGACCTGAGGTGTAGGTTCTGGAGGGCTAGTATTGTGGACAGAGGGGTCTCTAGGATGGTGGGGTCAGGTTCCTGCTGCTTGGGACGGAGCCTCAAGGGAGTGTGAGCTTCTCCTTGTGTTTGAGGCCCACAGCCTCCAAGTCTTAGGGTGAGGATCTGGATGCTGACGATCGGGGCTTCAGGACAGGGACCTCAGGTCTCTGTACAAAGTCTGTAGTTTCAGGCAGGATGTGGAGCTTTGGCCTGGTAGTCTCAGGGACACACGACCATGACTATAGTCTTGGACATCTCAGGATTGGGGTCTCAGGGCAGGGGTCTGTGTCTCCAGAATGAGTCTGGAATGCTGGGGCCCAGGGTTCAAGGTCTCAGGTGACAGGCTCTCAGAGCGACAGGGTGTGGGGCTGGACTGGGATGGTCTAGGAGCCAGGCGGCGTACCAGGAGCTGCAGCCGGCGCAGGAGCCGGTCCAGTCGGGCCTGCAGGACGCCCAGCTCAGGCTCCAGGGTCCTCAGCGGAGGGCCGCCTGTCCGGCGCAGCCACTGCACATGCCGCAGGTAGGACAGCAGGTCAGCCCGCAGCCGTGTGAGCATGCCAGGCAGCTGCAGGCAGGGTGCGATGTCATGGGAGCCTCGTCAGAGCTAGCTGCCCAGCTGCCCTCCTCCACCAACTTGCACACGAGGAATACCCCAGCCCATACCTGCAGGGCTCCCAGTGCGCCCGCACTCATGGCCAGCGTGGGCAGGGAGTCCAGGCTGTGGTCCCCGTCCACGGGGAACTTGTCTCTCTGGAGAGAAAGAATTTTGAGGCCGGGCCTCAACTCCACCTCAGCCCCAGCGACCCCCTGGACTCTGCCCTCCAGCTGGCCGAAATGCAGACCTCTGGGACTCATCCATGCCACTACAACCTGGCCCCAGCACCCTACCAGCTGTGCGGCCAGCTGCCGCGTGTCCACCAAGAGGGAGCGGGTCAGGAGGAACGCGCCCTCCAGCTCCGCCCGCGGATCTGGAGATGCTCGAGAGGGACCAGGAGGAGGCCCCCGGGCAGCGGCTCGCTCGGGCCAAAGGCTCAGCACCACCAGGACCAGGGGACAAACACCTAGGGCAGCAGAAGGACACCCAGAGCTCAGGCTGAACCCCGGGGCGAGGGAGGGGCGCGACGTCTCGGGCGCGCCCAGGGCAGGTCGCTGGTCTCCCTCCCTCCCTGCAGGCGCCCCGCCCGCCGGCGCAGACGGGCCCGGGGCGGGCAGACTGGCCGGGCGTCTCCCGTCCGCCCCCGGACGCCGGAATCTGGGCCCCGGGGCGGGGCGGCGGGGGGAGCGCAGGCCAGGACCTGCCCCCTCCGACCCAGAGCCCCGCGGGCTGGGCGCGGGGGCAGAGCCTGGCTGCCAGGCCCCAGACACGCGGACCCCGCTGGGCCACGGGGTCCCCGCAGCCCCCGGGGGCGGGGTCCACACCTAGGGCCGCGGCCCGCCCCGCCCACTGCGCCCGCCAGCCAATCAGCGGCCCCACCCGCGCGCTTTCCCCCTACACGCCCCCGGCCCGCCCCCCGGCCCGCACGCGCCCCGCATCGCCCGCCTGGCCGTCTGCTGTCCCGTCCAGTCAGTGCCTGTCGTCCCGTCCTGCACAGGCGCTCCCGGGCTCGCCCTCCTTTTGGGGCTCCCGGCCTCAGTTTCTCTCCCCTGCCTCTGGCTGCCCGGGTGTCTAGGACTCTCGGCGCCCTCCGACCCCGGGCTCCGCAGCATCAGTCCCCAGTCCCTGGCCTCGCCCCGCATCTGCCGGGTCCCAGGCCCGTCTCTGCTCCAGTTTCTCCGGGCACCACCCTCCGCAGGGTTCCCCAACCCTCCGCCCCGTGCCTGGCCCCTGTGCCCGCTCCAGCCCTTCCCTCCCCGCCTGCTGCACCGTCCTCCACCCAGGCACTGGGACCCACTTACAGTTCATGTCCCCACAGGCAGGGGTTCCCCAGGGCAGGGGCAGGGAGCTGGGGGCCTTTAACCCTTCCCTGTCCGCTGCCTGCCGGGGACCCCGTAGCCCCGGGGTCAGCTGGGCCGCCGCGTGGGGAGGGGAGGCATGTGCGTGCGAGCGGCAGGCACAGTGAGGCAGAGCGGCCGCCTGGGGGGTTATATAGGGGGCCGGGGCGGGCGGGCGGGGGGCAGGCGGCCGGGAGGGCGGCCTGACACATCCTGACTCACCCTCCCTCCTGCCTTTTCCATTCAGACCAGCCGGCTTGCAGGACTCACTTGCTCAGAGGAGGGCACGGAAGGAAAAGTTGGAAAAGTTGAAAAGTGAAGGGGGGGTGGTCGGAGAGGGGCTGGTGAGGTCATCGGCGTCCCCTCCCTCCACCTCCACCGCAGGGGCAGACGCGCAGCCGACCGGGCTGGCGCTGGGTGGGGGTCTGGCCGCCGCGACGGACAGGGGGTGGGTGCTGGGGAACGCACGTGCGGCGGCCCCAGGGAGCACAGGTCCTGAGAGTCAGGATCATAGGAAGGTGAGGATATCCGAGTCCTCGGAGAGACCCAGAGGCCCGTGTGGAGGCGGCGCAGGGACACTGAGGCCCAGAGGACGCAGCTGCAGCTGCAGCACTGCACCACCCGGAGCCGGCTAGGCTGACAGAGCCCGGAAGGGGACACCCACACTAGATGGGGACACTGGGGGCCGGTGGCCGACACTGAACAGTGGGGTGCAGAAGGCAGAGACGTGAAGGTGGAAGATGACTGAGACAGACATCAGAGACTCAGAGAAAGACGTTCCGAGACACTCCGTAGCTGGTGCACACCTACCATCCCCGTACTCTGGGAGGCTGAAGCAGGAGCATCTGGAGTTTGAACCCATCCTGGGGAATTAGTGACTGGGCCGCTATGAGAAGTGAAGAATGGTTGGGGATAAAGCTCAGGCTGAGTCAAGGCCTTGGGCTCGAGACCCAGCACCACAGGAGGAGGGAGGGAATGATCAAGACAGTCCCCAGAGATGGCACTGGGCACCTGAGGCTGCCCCTTCATGCCTCAGTTTCCCCACCTCTGAAATGATAGTGAAGACAACCTTTGCCCCAAACACGGCAGTGAGGCTAGCGAGTCTGTCTAGGAGCACAATCAGGCTGTGCATGGGCACCACCGCAGTCCTTTATTAACAACCTTGGGGAAAATGGGTAGAGACAGAGACCAGCAAGAGAGGGGTGCAAGCCCAGGGAGGGAGGGACCCAGGGACAGCAATCCCAAGAGCCCATTCCAGGAGGAGTTGGCAGAGAGAACTGGGGGATTAGCATGGGGAGGGGGTTCCAAAGGTCTCCACAAACCCCAGGTGGGGCCCCTTTCTGCGCCTGTGTGGGCAGAGGGCTCCCCCTCCCTGCGGCCATCACACTGCACACTGGGGCAGCCTGAGGCTCCTGTCCCCAGGGAGGTGAGGTCACAGCCCCCCCTGGCGGGAGATGACCTCATCGCCTCAGGTAAGAGCTCTTCCCTCTGTGGGCCGGCTGCCCCTTTGGGCCCCCAGGAGCCTCCCCAACCCTCACTCTGCTGGGACCCAGGCCTCTGACCACTGGGTCCCCACCCCTCAGGGGGCCTGTTTCCGGCTGAGTCAGTGTGGGGGGCCCCAGGCTGCGTCAGTGAGGGGAGAACTGACGTAGCCCCCCCCAGACCGGCAGGGCCAGCCAAGGTGACTCAGGCCACCAGCTTGGGGATGGCCTGGCCTGAGGGGATGGGGGACTGGGCCAGGGGCCAGCCCAAAGCAGCACCAGGGATCAAGGAATGTCAGCTTCTTCCACTAGGGGACCCACAAGCCTGCCCCCACATCCCACTCTGATGGCCCCCACCATATGTCTGGCCCAGCCCCCTCTTTGGACCCCTGGAATTCAGCCCATGGTCCTCTTCAGAAACCGAGGTGCAGACCCCAAACCATCATTTGGAGGAGGCCGAGAACTGGGGGGCTTCTACACTTTGGTTGGGTAGTTCCTGTGAGAGGTGGGTCACCAGTTTGGGTCAGATCTGGGGACCACTTTTGGCCCTGCTTTGGTCCCCATGGTGGGCTCAGACTTCCTTTCACTGTGGCTGCAGGAGGACCTCGAGGGTTGGGAACTCCTCAGTACTCCCCAAGCCTGGGTGGGAGGGTGGATCACTTCTTGTGAGACAGAGACAGAGACTAAGACACTAAGGGGCAGTGGCAGAGTGGAGGAATCCCAAGAAATGACTATGGAAGGAGGACATCCCAGGCCCTGGGAAAAGACCGGTGCAAGACTGTGTGGGCTCCCGGGAGCCCAGCCTGGTGACAGGCAGCACCCCCTCACCCTCAGATCTCTCTGGGACTTGGAGAGGTGCCCTGTCCAATGGGGGTGCCGCTCGGGGGTCCCTGCTGCAGAGGCTGGCCCCTGCTGAGGTTGTGCTGGCCGGGTGTGTGTCAGCAAGTCCCAGGCCGTGTGTGTCCGTCTGTCTGTCCCTGGGGGGTCCTGTCTGGCCTCTCGGGGGTGACGAGGCAGGCCAGCCGCAGAGGCGCTGCAAACCTGTCATTAGCGGTGAGGGCCGTGACGGTGGCCCCCCCAGTCCCAAGCCACAGTACTTGGGAGCCCCACCCCCCTCCTTCCTTGATCCCAAAGGAATCCCGGGAATTGAGAAGTGGGTCCAGATGGTGTTGACACAGGAAACGGTCAGCAGCTGGCTGCCCTCAGCCCCACAACCCTCTGACCCCCACGCTGCGCCCCCTGGCAGGCCCCCTCGGACTAGTGTCATCTCTGACGGAGGTAGCCCAGGGCCAGCTCAGCATCTACCAGGATGTTTACAAGAGATGAGGGTATGACCAGGAGTCAGCCTGCTTGGGAAATAGGGCTGGCACTGACCCTCACCCGCAGGCCTGGGGTCCAGGCCCAGCCTCCTCCCTCAGACCCGGGGGCGTGGGCCCAATCTCCCCCCTCAGATCTGGGGCTCCCGGTCCTCACCCCCAGACTAGTAAAGCCTGCAAGCTCCTGGGACTGGAATGCCAACTCCCAGAACTCTGTGGCTGCTGGGATTGGGTGGTCTAGGTACCAGGTGCCAGCCCAGCCCTGCTCTAGGTTCCTTTCCTTAATGCCACACCCTTGGAAGCTATGGGGAAACCAAAGGAAGTGAACAGACAGCCCTGGCGTGCCACTCCCGCTCTCCAGGTGTGCTCAGGCTTAGTGGGCCAGGCAGCAGTAGTCCCAGGCACCTTTACCACCTGGGCTTCCATCACAGCCCACCTGGCGCTGCCAGACCCATGCTGCTGTGGCCTTGGCCTCACTCACAGGGCTCAGCCTAAGGCTCCTGGCCTCCTCCAGGTCTCCTGGTTGCTGGGGCAACGGTCCCTCACAATGGGGCTCAGTGAGACCCCTGGGTCTTGGCCCTTCCCCAGGTTGCTAAGGGGAAAGATTCCCTAGCAACAAGGTTTCTCTTGGCCACCTGAGGCCACCTCTGCAGATGCGGTGGAGTGGGGAGGGTTTAGGAACAAAGGATTCCTACGCAAAGAGTGGATTCTCCCAAGTGGATTCACCCACTCAGAGTCCTCAGTGGATGAGGGAGAACTGGTCCAGCCCTGGCTCCTCCTCAGCTTCCCCTTCTCTTCCCAGGGGCCAAGGGCATCCCCTAAAGCCTAAGGCCCCTGCCAGGGGTCCTTCCATCTGGGCTTTACAGGAGCCACTGCCTAGTTGGGCATGCTGGCCTGGGCCTGCCATCCTCGCACTCTGGGAGGCTGAGGCAGGGGTATCTCAAGTTCAGGCCAGACTGGGCAATTTAGCAATTTAATGAGACCCTGTCTCAAAATTTAAAAAATGGAGGGAGATGGCTCAGTAGGATAAGCGCTTCCCTGGCAAGCACAAGGGTCTGAGTTCAATCCCCGGTTCCATGAAGAAAAAAAAAA